CAGTCAAACACTTTCATATAAATTGGGACGGAGAGAGTATAATTTATGTAAGAAAAATAAATATTAAGTTAGATTCTTAGATATAGTTACGTGACCAACTAATGAATAGAGAAATATTTAAGTAAAAAAGTAAAATAAGATTGACAGAAAACTATTTTAGTTATATTAATTAGAGGAAGAAATCGAGTTATTAAAAATTAATATGACAATAAAAAAATAAATTTATCAATAATAAAAGATAATTATATAAATAATATACTAATATATATAGAGAATACTAGTAATTTTGGGACCCTTAAATTTTTGGGGCCTAAAGCAAGTATTTCAGTTGCTTTAGGGTTGGGCCGCCCCTGTACATCAATGCATCTTACTATTTATTTTATTAATTCTACGTTTACATTCAAATCATAATGAATTTTATTTATAATTTTCATTATTTACACCCTTATTCCAGAAAAATCTGGTCAATCAAATTTCTTTACATTCATTAGCAGTAAATTTTACCTTCTGTGATGTGATCTAGAAATGCATAGCAGAAAGAGTTATTTTTTCGATGTAATCATTTGATCAATTTTTAAAAAAATCATTAAGGGAGAGCCGGTTATATCAAAATATTTTTTTGGCACAACTATGTCTACGTACTACAACACATCTACTCCAAATGTTTATTGAGTACGGAATAATAATTAAGTCATTTACAATTATATATGTATTATAAGATAATATATCAAACTCTAGCTACTAGTTGTTGCTTAGCTGGCTTTAATTTCTCTACATTGAGAGGTTTGTTAACAAAATTTTCCATGATAATATCATATATTCCTGTCAAAGATAAAGAAGTAGTTAATATATTATTATTGTCACTGCCTAAAAATCTAATTGAAACATTTTTTATTCTAGGAGAAAGAGAACAAACAAAAGAATTAGGGAAGTGTGGTATTTTGAAGACTGCATAGGAGTAAAATGTCATTCCTGAAACTTGAAAGGGGTTTGAATATAAAGTGAAAGTAGAGGAGGGGCTTCTTTTTGTGTATTTTGTTTGTCGCTCATGTTGTAATGCCCTCATCAGTACAGGAGCTTATCCGCTCGCTTAGTTGTGAAGTCCAGTGTTACCTCTTCGTCCTCAGGTCCTACTCTCCTTTCCCTTCTGCTATGTTTTTTCCCAAAAGCTGTAGCTCCTTTTTCCGGTGTTTCCTCTTGTTTATTTCAATTTCTTCTTTTTATAAGTGAATTTGGACTTAAATTTCTGCACAATACGTGTAGTAGCTTAATTACATTTAAATATGTGTAATTTCTGGATTTTTCCCCGTAATTTTATTAGTTGGTGTTCAATTGTTCAGAATTGCATTCAGTTTTGTCTGATACTTGGCACCAATGTACTATGTTACCATTTCTTTGCTATTTCACTCAGCAAAATGTGACCTACACTTATGCTGAGTTTAGACATTGAAATGGATGATAAAGACAATTACTTTGAGGACCCAAATAAAATTCATTGTTTATTAGATAACATACACTCTCTGCTGCTTCCTTATCTATCTACTTTTCAGTTTAGCTTACGGTCTCAGTGAATTATATTCACCTTCTGAGGCCCTGAGTATTTTACATCATAATTGATTCACTTATTTGCTGCTGTATTTGCATACGTCACAAGTTCTTATTCACCACCCAATGTGTTATATTCTTCTCTCTTATTTGGAAAGGGACTTCTTTGCTCAGCTGTTTTTGTTTTTCAGTTGTATTCTTGTTCTTTTTTTCTATTCCCTTTTAATCTTTTGATCTCATTCTACGTCATTTTTGGGGGTGCCATTTTGATTCTCATTTAAATATGACATTAGTATATCAGGATAATCACCAACGCTGTATGTTAGTTAGGTTATTGGTGTGTGTATGTTTGTATTTAAACTATTTAACATGTCCTAAATTTGTTCTATCTTAATTTCTAATGATTGCCTGGGTTTTTGTCTTCCTTTTCATGTCCGCAGTCAGAAAAATACCTGTGTGGTGAAATATCTTGTAAACAACTACTTTCGGGAGCATGCTCCCCAGCTTAATTGATATACTGTGTCTGCAGATCTAAGGAGGGCAATAGGAACAATCATTTGAATATTGAGATAGGAAGAATCATACAACCTCTAAAGGGAAAAAAATGATTTTTTGATATTTCACATAGCAGAATGAGGGCGGAATAACAATACAGCTGACTTAGGAGCTGGTTTGTTTGTTCCCACTCTTTGTATATAAGTTGAAAGTAACAGTCAATACTTTGCTTCCCTACAGTCTTCATCATAATATTCTGACGTTTTCTTCTAGTTTGTTATTTCACTAGGTTCTTCCCGTGTTTGATATTTATCGAGAAAACTGTTTAACACATTTGGAGTTTGCTTACAATTTCACAGGAAATATGGAGACTTCAACCAGCCATAGTTCTGGCATTATGTGGTTCTTCAAAGACAGAGGTTTTGATGATAAAAGCATTCATGAAATGTTCCAAAAGTGCAAGCGCCTTGAGGGCGTGCAAAGGGAGAAAGCGTCTGAAAACTGGGACTACTTGAGAAGCATAGGCATCCAAGAGAGGAAACTTCCTTCTGTTGTTCGGAAATGTCCCAAAATCCTTATTCTAGGCTTGCATGAGAAACTTGTCCCAATGGTTCACTGTCTTGAAACACTGGGTTCGAAACCAAAGGAAGTTGCTTCTGCCATTACTAAATTTCCGCACATACTCTCTCACAGTGTGGAAGAGAAGCTCTGTCCACTCCTAGCTTTCTTTGAATCGCTTGGTATAACGGACAAACAACTGGGTAAGATGATACTGCTCAATCCAAGGATTATAAGCTACAGCATAGAACATAAGCTTTCACAGATGGTGGAATTTCTTTCCAGCCTTCATCTATCAAAGGAAGGTATTGGTAAAGTTATGGTGAAGAATCCATATATTATGGGTTATAGCGTTGATAAGCGGCTAGGTCCTACTTCAGAGTTTTTGAAATCACTTGGTTTAACAGATATGGATCTCGAGAAAGTGGTAGTTAATTACCCAGAAGTTTTGTGTAGAGATGTGAACAAGATTCTGAAACCTAACCTATCTTACTTGACATCACGGGGATTTGGAGTTGGACAGATTGCAGCTGTGGTCACTTGTTATCCTCCTGTTCTGATAAAGAGTGTTACCAACTCTTTAGAGCCAAGGATTAAGTTTCTGATAGATGTTATGGGGAGGCGACTTGATGAAGTTGTTGATTATCCAGACTACTTTCGGCATAGCTTGAAGAAAAGATTAGAGTCAAGGCAAAAACTTCTAACGCAGAAGGACATAAGCTGTACGCTGAGTGAAATGCTGGATTGTAATCAGAAGAAATTCCTATTCAAGTTTGGTCTAGTTCAGTGAAAGTAATGACCATGTTCCTTGCCTTCCTTTCTCTCGTAGAGTATATAGCTTTAGCATTCGGCTTGTATCAATCTAAAAGGACCTATAGGGATGAGCTTTTTGTGCACCTTTTGCGGTCATTAGGTCTCCTGGGAAATTATTATTCGCAAATCATATTCATATGCTGCTTTTGCAATTGATAGTTTCATCTGTTTAATGCTCTGTTCTGATAGTGCTTAATAAAAGCAAAAGGACGAAACAACTTCTCCGGGTTACATTGATTTTGGGATTTGAAATGTTGGTCTCTCAATCTACAAGGGGATATGAATGAAATTAAATAACTCAACTATGGATTCTTCTGTTTGCTACTTTACTTTTCATCCCAATTTTTTTTCTGATGTTTTAGGTCCGAAATATTGGGTAACAAAATCTGGCATTTTCAGTGTTCAATTTCCAAATGTAATTTATCATCGACTTAACATATAAGTAAAACGTTAACGATTGTGTTCCTTTTCTTTCTTCTTTTTGATACACGAACATATTCATCTAGGTTAACTTTTTAACTCCTAAAATCTCAATTCTAGATCTTTGTGAAATACATATTTTTGGTCTGTTATCAAAGTTGGAAGTATCTTACGCTGCAGAATCAATTAAAAAATGCTACTAGAAATGCATCAAGATCATTGTTTACATCGACCAAAGTATCACAACACACTGGATTTTGCACAATATAGCACAAAGCGAGAGCGCGCAAAGTTGCTTCGAGCGACAGCGATTCAAAGTTCCTTAGCCACTTTTGGAGGGTTCTTTTGGGGATGAATATGAATTAAATTGTTATTTTGTTGTTGTTGTTGTTGTCATTCTCAAATGGATGGACCAAATTGAGCCGGGAAACCTAACTTTGAGAAATATGTTAGCATTAGTGAAAGATAAGCTAACTGCGTTGGAGGAACATAAAGTAAGCTACTAACTATCCACGGCCAAATGAACAATGAAAGAACATCATTGGGCTTTTACAAAATGAAGATCTAGAAAAGATCCTACAGCCCTCTACTTGTAACAAACAAAGCTTCTTAGGCCTAAAACATTGGCAGGAAATATCAAAACCTCCACCTTAACAGGTCAGATATATAGACACTAATACCTACTGTCATTAGTTGATGGGTAAAATTTGACAGCTTGGAGCAAGATAATACAGCAATCTTAACAATACGATGGAGCATCAAGAAGCAGAGTTAATTACAGTTGCCTCCTTGGTAATCTCTATTACCACTAAGAAACTTGGGATCTTTGCTGATGCCAAAAAGAAACTTGGATCTCCCAGTCTATGACATGTCCTCATGATAAAGATGAAGTCCCAGCCCAAATCGAGCACAAGCTCGACGAAATGCCATACCCTCTGCCTTCTGCACAGGATCCCCATAACCTGGGTCATCTACTGAAGCAGTGCCAGTTGATTCCCGATATATCTAGTCAAAACAGAGAGAGACGGAGCAAAGAAACTTAAAATCATATACTCTATCATCATCTTTGATAATCTAAAAACTCTGATGTAAATGAAATACAAGCAAGCTAGAAAACTAGGTAGCAAGCAGCTGAGTGTACAGAACTGAGGCATCTATTTGTTGGGGTTTTCTCGAATAGGTTAAGATGCAGAGTTGTTACATACAGTGACATCTTATAACTATTTCATCATGGATAACATGTCACCTGTTATCATCCATACCCCAATAGACGAAGAAATGGAATTCAAGAAAAACAATCACAATTTTGATATCAGCTACAAGCCTGTTGAAATTAAAGGGACATCACAACAAAGTAAAAGGTGCCATGCCACTGAGATACGAAGTGCAGTAAATAATAAGCACCGGGCACCCTTGTACTTAAGTAAGATTAGCTATTCTATGCTTACACGGGTATCAGCTATTATGCAATAGACAAAACCAAAGTAGCTTAGATTCAAACCAAAAAGGTGTCCTTGTAGTTAAGTAAGATTAGCTACTCTATGCTTACATGAATTTAGCAATTATGCAATGGACGAAGCCAAAGTAACTCAGATTCAAACCAAAAAGACTATTTAAGAAGGTAATCTGCTCCGAACATTCTGGACATATAGCATTACATCATTGATTGGTTATTGTATTTAAGAAGGCTTTTTTAGGGTTCTTGCTTAACCCTAAAAAAGTTGTCTGCTAAAAAAGCTTAAATACGACTTAACGAAAAAGAATTATCTGCAAATACATCGAATGAAGTCCTTAAAAGCGGAACTTACTTTATGAGAATCACTGGACTTTTCTTTCGCTTTAAAGTTTGTTACATGATCTATCTGCGGCTTTTTAGGTAGATCTTCTCAAGTTAAAAGGCAGCACCTCATAAACAACAGCATTGGAAAAACTAATTGGTCACATAGATTTGCCTCAGAAAAAGATTACAAAAATGACATATACAGCAGCTAGTTATGACTACACAAAAAACATCTTAATTATAGAAACAAGTTGTGAAGCATAAGTAACAAATACCTCTGCATCAGTCCCATATAGTGTTACACGGTAAACAACTGAAACTGACTTGCCATCAGATGAGTAATTGATGCTTCGAACTTCGCCAGACCATTCTAATTTGTCAACAAATTTGATTGTCAACTGGCTGACTAAATTAAAAATAGTTTCATTCTCAGAAAACGGAAAAAACAGATAGATCTTTGACATACCTGGAGCATGTAAATTCAGAATCCTATTCACAATATGCCTGCAAAGATTCAAAAGTCAGAAAAAGTAAGTCAGTTTTCTTTATATCGTAAAAAGCAAAAGAAAAAATAGAACACATATTCTAGCAAAGTGTTAACATGTCAGGTCAAGAAATGATTGAAGGCTCACATAAATATAAAAAGAAAAAAATGCACCACTTTACAATATAACAGATTCACTTATGTCCACATGTTTCAAAATCAACTGAGATATAAAGTTGACCAAACAAAGTTGACCACCCAAGATTGATGCTTTGGGTGCATTTGGTATGAAGGACAACATATTTCATAGAAAATATTTTATTTTGGGAAATCATTCTAAGGTCCATTTCCCCTGTTTGGTTGAGTATAAAAGTATATACTAACATATAGTAATCGTATAAAGAGATATACACGATAAAATGCTAGCATTTGGTGATATTTTTGAGTTTAAGTTGACATTGAAGTTAATGTTAAAAAGTAAATTTTGGGATGTTTGCAAAGGAAAATAATTTCCTTCCTTATATAAGTCATTTTCTCCTTTTGGAGGAAATATTTTCCTTGGGAAAAAAGTTATTAATAAATCAATGTAGACAAATGCAGGAAAATGGCATCATTAAGGATAACAACTTTCTTCGTAAATTATTTATTGCCAAGACAAACACACTCAAAATGGCCAATTAGCAGATCAAACAAGTCTCTGCCAGATTATATTGACGGTTGACTGGTGCTTTGAAGAACATAGAGCAATCTAATTGAAAGGTATCCTGTAAATTCTGTTTAATGTTTGTGAAAACATACTCAAAGGTGAAGAAAGACAAAGAATTATTGAGTTAACTTTTTCGAAGAATATTAGCAAGGATTTTTGAGTTTATTAATAGTCCCACAAGGATCGCACAAAGGCTTCCAAAGAGATCTACAAAGGTCTTGGGCCGCTCCACCCATTGCCTTAAAGTTTAGGTTGGAAGCTCATATGTTTTCATAAGAGTTGAATTTAGGTCCTTTCAGCAGGAGCTGCACTATCATAGTTCCTCTAAACTAGAGGAGGCAGTTGACAAATCGAACAGGCAATACATTGCATAAACACAAATTTATTTCCAGTTCCTTTTTTTTTTTTGCATTAATTAACGTAAAAAAGCGCAGTTTATAATCGAACAGAAAAATGTGTCAATCTACCATTTAAGTTAGCCAAGAAAATGCCTAACTGAAATATTTGTGAGTATCAAAGTTAATTTATAGGACAAGGAATCTATTCTGGATATTCTCTGCCGAAGAAGGATATGCTAGGGAGTTCGCTGACGCCTTGAGAGTACCTATTAACCGAAGGGTGGCTCTATGTGATAACAGGCAAAGTGGTGTAAAAGTGAAAGCTCCTGGTTAAGGCAAACAAATAAGGGATGAGGTGTCAACCAATAGAGTCAAACTAGAATTTTCAAGTGAGTATAACCCTACAAGATCCCCCCCGGGGCGGAGCTAGAGTGTAGCCAGCGGGTTCGGCCGAACCCAATAGCTTTGGTTTGAACCCTGTATTTGTCTTAAAAATCCATTGAATATGTATAAATTATTAATTTAGAACCCAGTAACTTAAAACGATTAGAATTCCGAACCCATAAGCTTGAAATCATGGCAACGCCTCTATCTCCCCCCCAAAAAAGAAAGGACTTTTCTCTAGTGGTAGGAGGGCAACACGTGATTTGCGGGTTAGGCGCACATCACATGTTCAAACCTTGCCACAGAAAAAGCTTAGTACTTAAGTGGAGAAGAGTAGAGCCACGGACCCATTGCCCACCAGCTTCGAACCGCGTGTCACTGGCCCTCTCAGGGATCTCTCGGTTAAAAACAAAAGAAAATCCTACAAGCCTTTTGCCAGACCTATCCATCAAAGAACACTAAATTGAAACAAAAATGCAGAATTTAGACAAGTTCAAGCAAATGTTGGAGCTGAATTATGCAAGATATGTCATCAATAAGCCTCAACCAAAACCATAACCCCCCCCCCCCCCNAATCAAACAAACACTAGTAGAGCGCAGAGCAGAGTCCGATAAACATTCGAAAAATAAAAGACCCTAGCATAAATGAGACAGAAAAAAAAGGCAGCACTGACCAGGGGATATATTTGAGGGAGAAGCCATTAGGTTCGTGGCGAAACTTGATGAGGGAATCGGGGACCTTCTTGTTCAGCTCTTTGAGTATCTCAGAAAGTGGTCGGCTGATTCCTGAAGTTGGGACATCGTACTCCGGCGTTTCCCTGTCGGAATCAGACATCATTTTCTCTTTGTCTTTGTCTTTGTCTTTGACTGCCCGATGGGAAGAAGAAGACGAGGGCTTGGCAGAGAAAGAGCACTGGCAAAATCGGACTCTGTTCAACACAGAAGAAGAGGTTGAACGCAATGAAGAAAAGGCCATGGCTTTCCCGCTTCCTTAGTTCGCTCTGCTGTGTACCACAGTACTCCCACTGAACAACACTCTAAAACCCCATTGCCGCTTTTAAAGGGTTTATTTATTGGAAAATGAGCAAATGGCACCAAGGTCCCCCATTTTGCAAAATGAGCAAAATATTCTCTTCAATTTGATGTTTTCCAAAATGTGGAAAATATTCTCTTCAATTTGATATTCTCTTAAAGGATTTGCTAAATAATTTATTTTGATAAAATTTATTAATTAAAAGAGTTTAATATTAAAAAGAGTAAATTAATTAAATTATAATGTTTAGCATTAACGATAAATAGGTTTAAACAACTGGTACGAAAAATCATAGGGGGTAAACATAATATCATAAATTACAAGAGCAGTTAGTGTTATGAAGCAAAACTTGGATTGTCCCTTAAAAAAGTAATAACTATTGAATTCTAGCAAGTGAATTCAAAAAAATTATAAAAATAACACACTTCAGATTTGAACCTACGACTCGACGTATTTTGAACCCCCTTTACTTCTACACTAGAAGTTTCCCTCTTTCACGGCCCAAAATCACTACCGGTCGTGATAGCGCCTAAACCACTTACTAGATAACCCAATCATAATAATAAATTAATAATAACAGAATAAATGAGTCTAAGAGTCAAACAACTGTAACGACCCGACCAGTTGTTTTGAGCTTTAGCGTTCCATTCGGTGGTTTGAGGTCTTGAGTACCTTCGTATGATGTGTTACGACTTGGTGTGTATGGTTGATTTCGATGTTCGAGAGGTTCAGGATTTATTTGGAAGAGAAATCTACAATTTGGAAGCGTTAAGTTAAAGAGTTGACCAATGTTTGACTTCTGAGTAAACGACCTTGAATTCGTGTTTTGATGGTTCCAATTGGTTCACATGGTGATGGACTTATGCTTATGTCCGGATTTGAATTTAGAGGTTCCTAGGTTAATTTGGCTCTTTTTGGCGAAAGTTGACAATTTGAAGGTTTGAAAATTTTCTAAGTTTGATCGAGAGTTGACTTTGTGCCTATCGGCTCGGATTTTAGTTTCGGAACTTGGAATAGGTCTGTTTTTTCATTTAGAATTTGTGTGCAAAGTTTAGTCTCATTCCGAGTTGGTTTGATGAGAATCAGACGATTGGTTGTGATTTTGGACATTCTTGAGTTTCAATAAGATTTTGATGCGTTTTGGTGTTCGATTCGTAGTTTTATATATTATTTTGATGTTTCGAGCGGGTTCGTATGAGGTTTATGTACTTGTTGGTATGATTGAACGGGGTCCCGAGGGGCCCGGGAGAGTTTCAGATTGGTTTCAGATTGTTTTTGCTAAGTTGAGTTGTGCTAGTTCTGATTTTCTCGCATTTGCGAAGTGGTGGTCGCAATTGCGACTCATGGTTGCTGGGTAGGGACCTCGCATTTGCGAGGTGTTTGGATGTTCGCTTTTGCGAGTTCTGCATCGCTTTGCGAGGGGCTTCACATTTGCGAAGCGTTTTATTGCAAATGCGATATCTGGTGGGTCTGTGAGGGGTCGCTTTTGCGAGCTTTTGTTTGCTTTTGCGGAGGTCGCATTTATGAACTCCTGGTTAATGCGACATCTATAGCTGGTTATATGTTGTGTATTTCGGTACTTAACCTCATTTTATCATATTTTGAGCCCTAGAGTCGGTGGGATGCGATGTTTGGAGGGAATTTTCACATATAACTATAGGGTAAGTGATTTTGACTCAGTTTTAATATTATAACTTGATTATTTATGGACTTTAACATCGAAATCATGAAATTTGAAGATAATTTTTGGAAATTTTTTATTATGTTTTGAAAAAGTAAAAATTTGAGATTTGAGAGTCGATTTGGATTCGAATTTGAAAATCAATCACATATTTAGACTCGTGGGGTTATGAGTAGTCGAGATTTACCCTCAACTCGGGTTTTGACCGGGCGTGCCCGAAATTGACTTTTATTGACTTTTGAGAATTGGGTAAAGATTGTAACTTTGTTAATTGAAATTGATTCCTTTTGCATTGTTTGATGTTATCTAGTCATTTTTTTTGTTAGATTTGAGCCTGACAGAGGTGATTTCTAAGGAAAAGACTATTTTTGAGTATTGATTTGGCTTGTTTGAGGTAAGTGTCTTACCTAGCTTTGGTTGAGAAAATTTTTCCTACTAATTGATATTATTTTCTACACACGGGAGTAATGTATATATGAGGTGACGAGCGTATATACATGTGCCATGGGTATTTATGCCCGGGGGTAGATTCTAGCTTACTCTGTGCTTTATTTGATTGTGTGTTCTGCTTGATTCTATGTATTGTCCCATTAATTGACTACGTGAACACAATAAACCATGCTAGAGGGATGTTGAGACTATTGGTACCTTATGTTGAACAAGATGAGCCAATCTTGAGACTTATGCTATATTTTCCCCGGTGATAGATGCTTGTAGGTTATAACACCCACCCTGACTCGTTCTTGTTATGTACCTTGATTAGACGTGCACCCTGTGATACATTGTGATCCTTTGTATGACTACTTGAACTTGGTTGCTATACTTGATTTATCCATAGTCTTGCTTTATCCGCACTTTTATTGTTATCATGTCCTTGTGCGCTTTAGCGATGAGTTATGAGGATGTACCTCTTGATGATAAATTATTATCTAGCATTGTTGTGATAATTGTGTCACATGTGGGTATGTTATGCGGATTGATTGTAGATGCACATGCGGCGACATAAGTGAGGCATTTTATTGTGATGTGCATGTGATGAGATAGGGGTGGCTAGATGCGCATGCGGCGACATAAGGGAGACAATTCATTGTGATGTGCATGCGGGGAGATAAGGGTGGCTAATTATGTGCGTGCGACATAAGGGCATTCCATTATTTATGTGCATGCGGCGACATAAGGGTGGCATTGTGAGGATGTTATGTGATAGCCCAGAGGCATTGTTTTATTGATTATGTGTGTATGGTGGTACAAGAGGGGCATTCTTGTTGTGCTTATGACTTCTTTATGTATGTCATGCATTTTTACATGATTTGATGTGTTGTTTCTAACATGCTGATGTATGCCTCTGTTATTGCTTGATGATTTTATTGCTAAGATGGATTTACTTACATGGAGTTGATATCTCATATTTTGTTGAGTTGTTGGTAGCATATTGGGTTGATGAGATGAGGAAGTTATTATCATGAATTAATATATTTGATTGTTGATAAGTTTCTTGAACGCGTTATTTAGAAATTGATATGCAATCGGATTATAATGTGGTACAAGGTCTTTGCCCTGCAAGTGTGGTTTATATTGTCGCACGAGGTCTTTGTCGTGCGAGGTGGTTGATGATGTGGGCACGAGGTGCCATATGTGCAATTCGATTTGATGGTTGTTGTTGAAACCGACCTTTACTTGTATTAAATTGTTATTACTTGTTCTGCTAAGATTATAGATATTGTTTTTCTGCTATACTTTCTGTTACCAGTCTTTAATATATTGCACAGGTTATTTAATAAGTGAATATCTTTTGACTTAAAAACCTTGTCACTACTTCTCTGGGGCGATTCAAGATACTTACTGAGTACATGAGGTCGGTTGTATTCATACAACACTTCTCAGATCAGTAATGAAATGATAAAAGGAGATGCCAGGGATTGCGATCAGGATGCAACTCTACATCGGTTCTCCACAACAGCAGCTATAATCTCCAAAAGCTCAGCTGGGTCCAACTCCCGAATCTACACAATTAAGTGCAGAGTGTAGTATGAGTACACGTGACCCCATGTACTCAGTAAGTATCATAACTAACATCAATAAGGTAGTGATAAGAGTGACCAATGATACTCACTAACCAAACCTGTACCGCTTATGAATAAATATATACACAACAACAATATTGAAATCTAGGCATAGAGTACGGATAAGACCAACAGTGCATATAGAGAATATATGCACGTATAACAAGTCAAGATACACAGTTCAACATATAGAGAAGATATGTACTGTGTTGCAATCCACCAAGTAAAACAACATATAAAGAAGATATGAAAACACCCAAGCGCTGATCTTTTTTTCATAATCCGCCTGTACGAGAGAAACATGAGAGGGCGACCCTAGGGGGATAGATCCTTATCCACATGCTGCACAGAAAACTCATATGTCATAATCATAACAACCATACGGACAACTCACGTACTGCACGGAGAATTCACGTGCCAATAATCATAACAATCGCACGGACAACTCACGTGCTACCAAACCAGTCCATATCACAGAAAGCATATACAAGAATACATGTATATAAACACAGATATCAAATCACATTCTCCTGGATTGTGGCAAATAGTATGCTAATGTGTATGCATGTGCGAAGTGTACAACTACAGCTCAGATAAGGTAGATACGCCAAATAACAATAAGTATCATGCTCAAATAGAGAATCAAGGCCTAGACATGACTCTACCATGACTCGAGAAACTCACGTAGTCCTACAAATGATCAAAACATGACTCCTAGGAATTAAAAGAAGGCCTAATAGAAGCCTAAGTCTATTTCGGTCGAAATCATACATAAAACTCGCATATATGCTCGTCACCTTGCATATATGTCACTTTTCACACATTTCAATTAGCCAAATAAAGTCACATCCTAAGGGGTATTCTCTCACGATAAGTTAGGCAAGATAATTACCTCAAGCGGGTCAAATTAATACTCCACGAACGCCTTACATTTAGAAATTACCTCCAACTGGCTCGAATCTAGCAAAAACTAACTCAATAGCGTTAAATAAAAGACATAGGAATCAATCACAAATAATAAAGCTTCAATATTTATTCAATTCCCAATAAGTCAACAAAAGTCCACCCTGACTCACATGGTCAAAACCCAGTAAAAGGGTATATCCTAACTACCCATAACCCCACGAATCCAAATATATGATTAGATTCCAAAACCAAGTCCAAATCAACCCTCAAAACCTCAATTTTAACTCTCTTAAGTTGTATGAAAATATCCAAGCAAAATCGCCCCTTTCCAAGTCTAGGGTTCAAAATATGAGAGAATAGGCTAAAA